TCCCCAGGTTAGAATTCAGGCTCCTTTTATATTAAAAGGAGATGGGATGTGGTTGGCTGGTGCAAACCTCTTGGTGTGGGAATTCTTTGTTCTTGCAGCTGTCCCCGGGGGTCAGGTCATGGTGCCCCTGCAAACCTCCAACAAAACAAATGTTATTTTCTATTCTGCAACTTGTTATCTTTAAATGAATGGGAAAGTGTTACACCCTTAAAGGTCAGAGCCTGGAGAATGGGCTCTCCCGTCTATTTCAGGCTCGAGGCAACATTCTTAACTTGTAGGGAAAACAGTAGGTACAAAGGTTAAAGTAAAAGAAACAGACCCAGCGTGGAGGCCGTTTTGTTCTGCAGGCTCGGTGCCCACATACCCGAGGGCTGAGATGTGCGGACTCTGGGAGCTCCATCCTGTTAGATGCTGGCATTAGCACCAACTCTTTTCGCTGATAGCCCCGCATTTCGTCTGCGCATAACGCCGGCTGATCTTTTCCTGGTCAACATTTACACTTCGGTTCTGTTCCTTGTCTCACCGTGTTGTCTAGGATCTTAAAACAGTTGTGGCTAACAGTGTAATCGCACGCTGCCTGGCCCTCATTTAATGGGGAGGTTTCTGGTGCGTCTTCCTCCTGTGGGAGGTGTCTGACAGGTGCCAGTTGCCAGGTGAAGACGGCTCCTTATTTAAGACCCCACGCTGAAATCTGAATTTCTGCAAGCGGGAATGCTCCCTCGATCTTTTTTTGCTTTGAATTTCATGCTCTTTCTTTCGGCTATTTTTCTCTCTCAAAGAGAAAGATAAACCGTGTTGCAAACAGTGTGATTGAAAAAAACAGAAAAGCTGAGTGACCGAAGCAGGTGCTTTTCCGGCTTCCAGCCTTGGTTTTTCCATCTGTAAAATGGGACCATGCTTCTCCCTCAAGAATTGACTGTATTTAGTTATTTTTCATCAAGAACCACTAATGTTTGTGTCTTGTTTTGTCTCTCACGTGCCTTTACTGCTTTCAACCTCCGACAGCCTCCGGCAGAGAGCATTTGGTGGGATGTCTGACGTCTAAGAGGTGAGGGAAGGGTGACAGTCTTTGCCGTCCGGTCTTTGCCGCAGTTGTCACCTTCATCTTGTTGGGAGAGCCAAGAAAGGGGGGTGCCCAGGGATTCCAGTCCCACGGACCCTGGGTGTGCCAGGTTGCAGGCGTTTGAAGATGCAGACACACTCCTGCTAGGATAGTTCGTGTAACACATGGTGCTACCATGAGACACTCACATTCACATTTGCAGACCCCACTCTTCCTGCTGGACACTAGCGTGTGTCCCCGGCCATTACCGCACTGTCTGAATCGCTTTTGCTCTATGATGTCTTACAACGTGAAGTGAGTAGTTCTCCCGTGACGCTCACGGATCGACAGTCTTCCCGCTTTTTCTGTCAGTTTTAAAGAATCCAGGTCGGTCGTGCATCTCGTTTGCAAAACCAATTTTAATTTGTAAATGAATTGCTTGTATGAGAGACTCGACATCTTTGTGCTGGTTGATCTTCCTATTTAGGAACTTGGCATATTTCCTTTTTTTTTTTGTTTCGGGCGGGGGTGGTCTATTTGGGTTTATTTTACTTATTTATAATAATTTATTTTTATTTTTTTTATTGAGTGGGGAGGGGTCGGTAGGG